GACTCTATTAGGCCTCTATGGGGTGAACCATAGGAGATGAAATGAAAAAAAATTCAGAAGCTTCCAGCTTTTTGACTTCTCTGGGAATAGCGATTGTAGTCCGGCCGGCTGACAAAACAATAATATTTATGTCAACTCTCCTTAAACTGTTATTTGCATTTTATTTACCCGTGTTCTTTTTAAATCGTGAAATCTGCACATTGTTGTTCGCTTTGAGGTAAACGAAGACGAGAGACGGCCGATTTTCCTGGTGCAAGCGTTATTCTGAAGCAGCTGAAGGAGAAGAACGCTCCGCGCAAGCGGGTCGGTTTACTGTGTGGAAGTCACAGACCTGTCAGGAGTAATGTATTTTGACTTATCTTTTGGCTTTGTTTATAGTTAACTATATGTATTCAGCTTCATGCGAGATTTATGATCAAAAAGGCATGAAAATTGGCTCCGTAACTAGCGGCATGCCATCACCGTCGCTGAAGACGAACATCGCCATGGGTTATGTATCAAAGGCGTTCTCAAAGGTCGGCACCAAGGTGTTGGTCGATCCATCGAAGAAACGACAATTTTTTGAAGCGCAAGTGTTCAAAATGCCGTTCGTGCCTACAAACTATTATATCAACTGATTGTTCAGCGTTGAGGTCAATGATCGTCACCCGTTTTTTAATCTAGATTAATTTGAATATGAACCTTAGGCATTTATTTGTTTGTTTTATTTCACTGATCAATGATTTTGATATCTCTGTTCTGAACATGTTTTTTATCTTTGTGCAGTAGATGGTTTATTTTGTTTGAGTTAAACTTTTGACTTGTGGTTTTCGTCGTCTTTCGGCGTGGTTCTTTCGTCGAAGCGTCAATGAGCGCCTATGTTTTATTCCGAAATTACGCGACTGCGTACATTAACCGTATATCCTTGCAGAGCGGTCGACTAACGCCAGGTTTTTACTGAACTATGCGGTAAAATGAACGGGAATTTCGAATGGCTCGAACGTTTGAAGGAACACAAGGTAATAATGCCGTTAGCTGTCCTGGGATAAACTAATCCTATCGATTTGTATGTAGTATTATTTTTTAAAACGTTCTTAAGACTGCAAGTGTCAGTGATTTGAGCTGTGCAAAAAATCGCTGTTTGAAGTTGGCTTTTACACATCGGGTTGCAGCAGTGGTGGAAATATCGATATATTGCGCATCGTGCCTCTGATCTTGAGTTGCATGCAGATTCGAGGACTTCAGGAATAGCCCCATGCTATTCACCTGGTTAATCTAACATTTCGTTTGCTGTGGTCTAGCGTCTAAGAGGTGATATCGATAGATGCAAAATGGTAACATCCATGCGTCCCTTGACAGACTGAAACCGATATGCACATCTGCCTTTACCTAACTTCAGGGGATTAATGGCAAAACCAGTGAGAACCAATTATGAATGTCGTGATTGATGCTGGTAAGCCGGTTTAGTTCCTCAGCGAATCCATAATACCAGGATTTATTATTATATTTGCCTATCGATTAACGTCTATCCGTTGGCGTTGTAATGTGTTTTTTCGACCTAAAAAAAATTTTGCGCTTGCACTGCAGGTGTAAGGTCACCTGGAACTCTATCTTGCTTAAACGGCTAGGCTTAAACGGCTACCCTAGGCTACAAGCAAGCGAGCAGAGAGCGCAAATCTCCTGAAACAGCAAGAAATTGAAAATATAAATCTATTATTATATTCAATGTATTTTTTCTCTGATATTGAAACTCTAGCCACTGAATCACGAGGAACCGAAAAATATTTACTGTTACATGGCCAGAAGGTTTACAGCGCTCCATGGACCTGCGAGCTCTAGTTCTTTCCTACCACATGAAATGGTGGATTGATCCGGGTAGCTGAAGGCGGAATATACTTCTCAGTTATTTTCTAGCTGCTGTATACAGATTGGGAATCAGCTTTGTATCTTACCTTTTTTTCACATGTCGCCATTCTCAAGCTTCTACCCATGTATATTTAATTGTTTTTAAGCAAACATTTGATCACAAATGTCGGCGTCATATACGAACATTACATCATATATTTTGCTACTGTGTATCAGTGTACGGTGTTAATTGGATCAAAAGGCATTGTACTCAAAAACATAATCACTTGACTGCTATAATTTCAACCAATTGGAATCTATGTATTTTGTTCATGCTTAAAAAAATGTTTTGTACCCGGCGCAATGTGTGTTCTTTCTGGTGAGTTTGATATCGAAGAATCAATTTAGTGCTATTTCTGGTGCTATTGGTGATAATCTGAAGCAGCATTTAATTAAATATTTCACAACCCTTCCTCGATGTCTCATATTACTCTTGTCAGTGATCGTTGCCTATAACTGAGGTTTGAAATCGAAGACTTCCTGTTCAACAGTCATGAACCGTGGAATATGGCTCCCAACATCGTTAAAGTATGTATCATCAAATTTGCGCTGTTTGGTTTGAATTTGAACTGAAACAACAGTTAAGACTAAGTAATTGTACTTCAAAAAGTGATACCAAAAATGAATTTGAGTATTACAGGTTTTCTAGCGAGTTACTAGTTTTCAAGAATAACATTCTCTTGGCACTTCTCTGGATTTACACGATGTAGTGTGCCGTCCTCTTGTTTCTAGTATCCCGTAGACAGTTTAAGCAAGCTAGAACTCCATATCGTTTTTGCGCCTGAAGTGAATGAGCACCAAACAGCACCACTTGTTGGGTCGAACAGATGCATGTTCGAACATCAACGAATATACCTCTGTCTGTAAGCGTATATATCATTATAAGTTAACCCTGAAGAAGGAGATGATGCACTGCGCCGTGTGAATGACGGCAGAATGTTAAAATACGTATGATGGCCAGACTGAACAGACAGTTGAGTACTTTATTGTTTAGGAGAATTTACCGGATATAACCACAAAGCAAGACAGTGGCTTTTTCATTGACAAAATTTCTTCTCTGTTCCAAGATTTTCGCGACGACGCTGACGAGGTGGTGTTTATGTTCCTAGAAATACATCGAAAATTTAATGGCATGGATTTGGCCTTTGCAGGTGATCGTACAAGTCTGCAACGAGATCTTTGATTTCTACCGACGCGGTTCGTGTTGGCGCCGGTTTAGCATCGAATGCCTCCCTGCCATAATCGAACGCTACCTGATATCGGTTTCCGAGAGCAACGAACTACTCGTCTGTAACCTCAGCGCCCTGTTGTTGACATTCTATAATCACGTTTGTGTATGTTCTTCATATTTGGCCATTCTTATGCTTGCTTTAGGAAGTAATAAATCCAGACGGCTCCAACAAAATCGAAAAAATTCGCCTGCCTTCCATTGAAACCTCGTCTCTTTATATTCGTGACGTATATTTTTTTCTGAAATTTTTTATTCCTTTAATTTTTATTCTGTAACACGAAATGAAATTTGTCAACAGTTGCTTGGTATAATGAGATTCTGGAAACCCACTGCGACATGTTGATAGGGTTGAAATACATCGGTCATGCCGAAATCACTGGTGGCTAGAGCCTAAACCTGGTTCCAGTAAGGGTCACATTTATCCAGTTGTTTGACGGATGGTGATTACCCTGAGAACATTCCAATTTTCATTTCAATACCTTCTGTCTATGAATAACCATGCCGCATTTTCGTTTATGTGGTTTGATGAGCAGCTCTCTCGAACCCAGGTAGTGGGATTTAGCAGCTGACTAGGTTTCGTATAACTTTTTTATTGTCTCTGCTATCCTTCACTGGAGTGGGGAAGACAAGTGGTTCTAGCGCGAAGCTGCAAAAGGACATTTCTGTTTTTAAAA